CATCATCGCTAAGAACTCGTCCTATCTCCAGCCGTGTCCTACTTTTCCATTCCACACAACTACCCACTTTTTTATGAATAAGACCTACTTTTAGGCGAATTATCTTTAATTTTGCAATTCTTCTGCAGTAAAACTTAGCTATACTTAAAGCGACACGATACGATACTGTTACTATTATTGTCATATTGCTTCTACTCTTATTGTTACTGTTACCATATAGTTGGCCGTATGCAAGGCCACCATTTGTTGAACTGTTGATAGCTTCTCTTCTGTCCATTCGGTTCTGTAAAACAAGAAGGCATTTGTAATGAAGATATGTTATAGTGAAATGAAAAATGAAATTTTAGTGGACATTTTATTATTCTTTTTCTTAGGACTTGTTGTTAGGTAGGTTAAAGGCGTAGTAATTTATCGAATATAAGCAGATAAAGCAAAATTGTTGTATCATTCTAATCTATTTGCAAAAATGCCTGGAGAAGAATACAGAAAAACAAGGGCAATGAAAACATTACTGCTGATGAAATGGGACTAATGAGAAGTAGAGAAAAATGTAAAAGCCTGAAAATGCCTAATGTCCCTTCAACAGCTGAAATCAATATTTCCAGCTGATGGATATATACATTCATTTTATTCCTAAATTTTTTGCCGGATCCGAAACCGTTAGGAATTGGAATGTCAACAATACTAATGGAAGTTTCTGTTAATTTCCAACTAGAAAAAGAAAAAATCGTTTTTTAATAGAATATACTCAATAAAAAAGATTATAATTTCGCTTCTTCATCGCCGTTATCTTCGCCTCTTTTTTACTTTTTTATTTTTTGAAGAAACACATTTTTAACGTTAGCAGTAAAATTCGTAGATTTGGCATGGAGATTGCTTGGACTTTTCATGAGAATTAGATTCTTTTATCATTGAATACCAGATGAGAATTAGATTCCTAACTTTAGATGCTAAAAGAAAGAAAACTTAAGATGAAAGAGAAGAAAATCATTTTAATCAATTTCTCTAAATTTTCAAAAATTTCGCAATAAGAAAAAATTTATGAAAATGAATCATTTTAATATTCTGAATTGTGATTATTGATGAAAAAATTAGGTACACATTTATAATAGTCATAACAGTTGCTGTCTATCAATTTGGTTGAATATAATTTTACATTTCTGACTATTACCTCTTTGCTTTTCATTCATTTAATCCATCTCCATAAATTCTAACAAAATTCCTTCTCGATAGCCAAATTCTTAGTTGTTATAGATTTATTCTAAACATATAATATATCTAATTTCTTGAACTAAAATACTTTTCGAATTTTTTATTGATCGTTCGCATTTTGAAAATAATCACCGTTTCTTCGGAAACTGTCCATTTGACACGGATTGATCAATAACAACCATATTGCACTAATCAGTCAGGTCGAGTCGTTTGCACTATTCAGACAGAAGTTCACCATTTGGCGATATTGCACTCGTCCCGGCCTGAGTGTTAGTTGCTGTTATGCCTTTCATCACTCCCCATTTTCTCTCTAATCCTTCCTAGCCATGTTTATTTAAATTTATTGTTTGCTTACAACAATCCCAAATGATTTCAATCAAAGGCTTTTCTTGATCCATTAAATAAAGTCCTATCAACTTAAAGATCAAATGTATCTTTAGTTTGGCTTATTATTTCTGCTGGTATTTCATGCTGAAATTAATTTATGAACTAGCTATGGTAAATAAAACAGGCCAGGTAAGCCATTTTACGCTCAGCATTTGTTAATAAATGAAGAAAAGACAAACTTTTAGGATTACTGCTTTTCTGTTAACCATTCATGCATGTAAGCCTAAATTGAATGTTGGGGCTCATATGGTAAATATTTCATATTTCAATCACAGTTTTTCAGATTCAAAAGTATAGAGATAATTTATTATTGATGTTTTCAATACTTCATTTTTCATTCACTTCCATTTGAAAATCCGAAAAATTTTTCGATATGTAAAATGCAATTCTTAAGTAAATATCATTTTCCGGAAAAAGTTAACATACTCTGTAACTTTCAGTTTTGCTTTTTTCTTCTTCATAATATCAGTGATAAAACTTTTCAGTTACACTTTTTTTAAATTCAAGGATGTTGATCAAGAATGAAGTTCAAAAGTGATATAAAAGGCTAATATATTTTTTTGATTTTTCCATACAGGCTGATAATTAATTTATTAAAATTTCAGCTTTCTGTTACTGTGATTTGCAATTCGATCGTATTGTTTCAAGTGATAATTATCGTTATTTTCTTTTTGTATTCAATTGATCTTCCTCACTCTTATTTAAGCTACTGACAGTTTCAATAATATGATTTTTGTTGTCAGTGAGTACATAACAGCATCAATAATATTCATATGAAGATTTTAAATTAGTATATATATATTTTTTGAAATTTACCACCGTATTACGGTTTTTTCCATTACTCACTGCCAATAGCTGGAATTGTTTTTCAAATATAGAAATTAAAATGTGGTGTATCTGAAATGAACAGTTTCTTCGACAGCATCATAACATCTTTCTTCGTTAATTTTTCCTTTTTTAATTTACATTCTGCTATTCTCCTATACTTTTCATTTATTTATAATTAAATTTAAATTTTTCTTTTCGTTTGATCCTGAATACCAAAATAACTATCCCAAGCTATTAATTTAGCTTTTGTTAATGGCTTCATACTGGTCATGACTAGTTAGTAACACTTATTTGAAATTTACACATGAATTACTTTATATAATCGGAGAAGAGAACCAATTTTTTTAACCATTGGAAAATCTGATATGATATTTCATTATAATACAATTTAATTGTATTTCTTTCCGGTTACCGGACATTGTGCTTTCTTCTTCCGCTAAGAAATCCTGATATCATAATTATTACAGTTAACCATTTCTACTCTCTTCCAAACGATATATATCTTATGATATTTTGCTAAGCATGACAAATTTTCAAGCTGGTCCCCAGGTGCATGGGTAAAAGCTTTCATATTTCGTAAATGCCATCTGCACAAGCGACTCAAATTTTATTTGTACAATCGAATTCCTTTAAAAATTTTGAACGGTAAAATTTCTGTTGACCACTCTATCTTTTCAGGAAATCTTTAGTATAGTGTGGAATAAAATATTCATTAGAAGTTTATTCGATATTATAAACATTACAAAAATAAGGTAAATGAGTGAGGAATGTAGTAAGAAAAGAATTCAACTCTATTAAAAAAAAGTTAAATGAAATCTGTTAAACAAAATTAAATACATCATATCGCATGAATGCAGCGTGGTGGGTTGTCCGACACTTTTACAGCTATAAAGCCTTACTGGAAAAAAATAAAACAAATAAATGATTAAATGCCATTAAAGCACCAAAGAACGCCTTTAAGAAAAAGTAGCAAACAAAACCGACCATGTTATATACACAACAAGAGATTTATGCGAAAGCCATAAAGAGATAATGCCAATATTCGATGACATATTTTAAAGAGACAATTTAAAAAAATGAAAATAAAACGACGCTTTCTCATTCTTTTTAGATTTTATTTTGCTAAACAGTGTCACCGACGTATATTAACAATTTATTAATCGTAGAGAAAAATTTCGTTATGTGAAAAATCATCAAATAGAGATAAAACGATAGAAAGTTAAGACATAACAAAAAGATTTCAATTTCGACTTTTAAAAAAATTTTTAAAAATAAATTTGCCATAAAAGTCATAGATAATTATGTGATCGGTTGGAATTGAACCTGAGAAATTAAAAATAAAAAGAGATAAAATAAAAGAAATGACTGAAAAAAATCACAGTCGGACAACATGATTTTTTCAGTGTGACTATGTACACATTGAGGCATTAACCAGTCGTAAAATTCTTTCAAAATACTGAGAAAAAATCTCTAAAAAATATTTACATCTTTAAAAAAATATGGAATACAAAAAAATATGCTCGCAGCAAAAGTTGAAATTAAAATGAACAGGAAATTTGAAAAATGGAAGGGGAAGGAAAGTTTTTCAAATTACGAAGGAAGATGAGAAAAAATTGATTGGAAAGTCATCCCTGGTTTATTTTTTTATGGCTAATTATATCTGTTATAATAAAAAATAAGAGAATACAAAAAGAATTAAAATTCATTTTTTCTCCAGTACAGCAATACGATAAACTGATTTCATACTACCAACAAACTGATTGATAAATTGAAACAAATTTTTTTATTAAATATTTACATCAATTCCAAAAAAAATTTATTAATTCAAAAAAAGCTATACACATCCCTGAGGTTCGTCTGGTAGAATCCAAAAAGAATGAAAAACACAATAAAGCAATACCTGAGTAATTGAGTAAAAAAAATGCGAAAAATTCCCTGAAATATATATGAATCACAAAACACTAAAAGTTAATAGGATTAAAATTAGAAACGGGAAATTAAAAATTTTTCAAGGAAAACCAGTAAAAGATCACTGAATATACAACATGATTGTAGGCTTCTCAAAGATATAAACAGTGAGTAAGATTGTGAAATTCCAGAATTTGAAAAAAAAAAGATAAAAATCTAACGCAATGGGCGTTCGGTTACTGTTAACAGTGAATCAATCGATAATCACATTTCTAACCATTTTTTTTTGTTTTTCTATTTTTTTTGCTCTCTCAAAGTTGAAAAAACGATCAAAGAATACGATTCAATATTTCTCAAAACTACAAAAAAAGAAACGAATTTTGAATCTGTTATATCTATCCTAATGAATAGAAAAATGAGAGAACGGAGAGATTCTGTAACAAAACGATCTTTCATACCGATAGTATTCAGTGTTATTCATGAATAAAACACCTTGAAAACTATTGAAACTTCTTAAAATACCCTCTATCATTGCATTTTTAACGAACAGAGTGCTAGTTTAAAGTAAATTTAATTGATATTTCGCAAGAATTCCACAGTCAACTCGGCTGAATTACCAAGTCTTCTACAAATACTGATGGTATCGATGGTACCACATGTCTTCCTTAACTGCGTTTTTGCACGTATGCTGTAATAGTGTCCATATGTTTACGAGCATATTTCGCCATCTGATCTACGGTATAGCCAGTGTAGAAGATTCCCAGACCAATTAATCCAAGGACTGTCACGATGATATAGAAATGCGACAACCGCTTGCAGTGAGCAACGAGACGCTGCTTAAGCTTTATTGCTTTCATCTTCAAGTTATTCACATTCATCGGTTGTAATAAACGCATTGTCGGAACACGTCGTCGTATGCCTTTATCCGAAAATGGAACCGTTTTGTAACTCGAACCATTTTTCGAACTACGGTATAAAGGGACAATTTTTTTGACTGCTGAGTCGTCAAATTTCTTCACTACTGGAGAAGCCTTCTTCTTTTTCGATGATGAACCACGACCGCGTGAGCTGGAACGTGAACGTGGTGTACTCTGGGTACTGCGGCTGCGACTGCGAGATCGTGACGTTTTCCGTGGTTGGCCTCTCGTTAAGCTGGAATCCTTACTTCGCGGACTTTTGCTGGATGACTTTTTATTGGATGACGAACGATGTTTCGGTGATTTTGCCATTCCTTTTCTGCTCTATAACTTATAAAATTTGAAATTTTCGATGGGTTCAGACAAGAAAATATGAACATTGACGTCAAAATATCTAAAACAAAGTATTAGGAAACTAATTACTACTATCCCATTAATCAACATCCATTGATAAAATAAGCGCTTACCATATTTATTAATGCTGCTTATAATTCCCAATAAAAGTAACAACAATTATCAGAAAGATCATCCACACAACAAACAGCGATAATAGTGAGAAAATAAACAGAAAGAGATGGATGAGGTTAAACTCAATTTCTGATCATCATTTTAACTGACTGAAATTAAGCAAAATTCATCATTCACAATTTATAGAAATAATGAAATATTAAAAAACGAAAATGATGAAATTTTTTAAAAAACTTTAATTTAGAAACGCGAATCGTCCATTTATAAAAAGATAAATTAAAGTAAGAGATTAATTTATTTGAAAAAAAATCCATAATACGAAGTTAACAACTATTATGCTGGATAACTGTAAGAAATATTATGTCTCCGATTAGTAACGATAATAATGATAGATGAATGATTCTGAGATCAGCGCTAATTAACATTCACTGTTGATTGCTTCTTCGAATAGTGCAAGAAACAATGATTCACTTTTCGAGCGCTATTGTTATAATAGCATCAAATTTCGACCAATTAATAAATTAACTGACTGATCCCAATTAATTCCCTCAAACTAATTAAAAATAACCATTGACAGCATACAGAAGAGATGAAAAGAAAACAAAGACAAGGATCGTATTGTTGAATTTTATCCCGAGGGTGTTCAGCGATTCGAAAATTTGATTGCAGAAAAACCACCAACATATTCATCGGGCAAATGATTTTCGGCATGTAAAGACAACATCGATGAAAGTAAATTGAAATCGTGAAACACATTTTGCGATTTTTATAATCATTAGTTTCAAATCAGGAGGAATTAATAAGAACTAATTTCTAGATTTTAAACCGCTTTTAAATCAAATAATCGGACTACAAATTATCATGATACATTAACAATTATTAGTGTCCAGCACCGTAACAAATCATTTTTTGGTCTCAAAGAGATGAAAAATTAATTTCTACTTCAAGTTAACTAACAGCATGATATTTTTCTTTGCTAGTACTTTACTTTGAAAAAAATGCTTTAATTGTAAAGCGACTAAATTTGAAGACCAAACAAAATTTAGGGAGACGAATCTGGAAATTGATGGAAAAAAGAAATGAAACGAAAAGTGGGAGCAGATGTGTCGGTCATTCAGGGAGTGGTCAAAGGTCAAGCTTTATAGAAGAGTGAGGGTAGTGCATTAATAATAGCAATGGGTAGTAACAGCAATAACAGAAAGGCCCCTTCTGCTGATGATATTGGAGGAAAGAATAATCGATGTACATGGCTCCTCATTTATTATTATTGGTAACACAGGCAAATGGACATTAGACGGACAAACAGGAAAGAGAAATTAAATATAAGGGAAGAGAGAAAGAGGCATTGAAACTGACCTTGTATTGTGAAAGGGTAGGGCTGAATTGAGACTTTCACTGAAGGATTAATAAAACGAATGAACGACTGACACGCCCAGATGACCGCTTGCCAATCATAACAGTGACCGAGTGATGACGCTTTCGACTTCAGGAAGAGGGACTGACCTCTTTTCCAAACCCTACTATTCCTTATGCTCCATCATGCACATTAATTAATGCTACCATGACATTCATTTCAAACATTGCCAAATAAAGAGTAGGTTGGGAATAATAATGTATTACTGATAAAGGAAAACTTTAATGAAGCATATAAGCATATAAGAATTCTGAATTGAACATTTTGTAAATGTTTTCGAATTTATGGAATGAATTAAACATCACAAATTGAGAGTACAAAAGCAGGACACAAAATGGGGTGCAGAGCACATGAGTTTTTGCATGTATGACACATATTTGTATATAAATAAATACATTGTTCCCGAGGTTTTCCAACAGCGCTTATTATATAGCTCCATCGAACAACAAAGATCAGCTTTAAAATAAATAAACAGAAAGACAGAAATCACAACTTCTATAAAAGTATTTCGGTTTTCGATTTGGTATCTATGCTTGGATGAATCACAGTTCCTTATCAGTGAGTGATTAATGTGAAAGAGAGTTATTGTTAGATTCGCAGTGATAGCTAATCTTCAAAGGAATGACTGTCTCACAACAAAATCCAATAGATCGGCAAAAGCTTCCCAAGTAAACCTAGTTCAAATGAAATCTTACTTATCCAAAGCGTCCGGATACAACGCGGCATCTCGAGGGCTGCATTAATTAATGGTCTGGGCTAGTTGATAGTTTGTCTCGATATGCTATTGCACTTTCGTGTGTGTTTCTTGCTGCTCGGGTGGTAAGGATAATTAGGGTTTTGGGCGAGGGAAGGGCATCTGGGTGGTTTAGCGTGGTCAGTTGTGTTAACTAAGGGTAGTTTACTTTTATGGGAAAGACGAGGGTTATCAACTCCATTTCTTCTTTGAAAGTAGAAAGTTATTCAGAATTTAAATATAAGTTTAGTAACCTTTCACGAAAAAATAAATTTGAATTGAATTATTATCACATTGATTAACATAGCCTCATACATCTTATTATAATCTGTGGTTTCGTGAATCCTGCTTCTAAATCACTTTTATTGCTTATTAACATTTGACTGAATTTAGTTTATCAGATATTGCGCTGGAACATATGCTCTATCCGATTAAGAGTATTGATAATGGAAGCAGCATCAATACCATCTCGAATAGTTCTCATGGGAACTTCAAAAATATCCTTAAATGAGAGGTAGTTTGTCATTTGTGACGTTTGAAAGACACTTTATTAGTTTCAATTTCCTGAGCGTTACAATACAGTAAAAGTGAAATGAAGCATAGTAAATAAAGATTTTTTTAGTGCCCTTGGAAACAAACAACTATTTTTCAGTTTTGATTTAAGCAAATTCTGTTATAGATCTAAATGTTATTGGAAGTGATAAATTAATTTCATCCGTAATGATAATTTGAGGACATGTTTTTGTAATAATAATCCATGGAGCATGAATCGATTTCTGAATAAGGGTATTTATGTACATTCATTTTATGGTGGACGGAAAGAAGTCAGTATAAATGACTCTATGCTTAGTTCTTTTAATTGGGGAAATGAATTGTCTTTGGTATTATCTGTGTGTAGTTTTTTTAATTAGGGAAATGAATTGTCTCATGTTAAGCGTCCGATAATTGTTACTTATTTTGCTACCGGCACGCAGGTTTTCCCAAGTTGCGGTGCCTAAATTACGACATAGCATTACTCCAATAAGAAGTTACAACGGTAATACCGAACAGAGCTATCCTGAATCGCTTCTAAGTCGGCGTCCATTGTATATCGGTGATATCGAAGTAAGTTAATATTTCATCGCGATAAACATATTTTCGAAAGATTGATAATTTTACCTTATATCGAAGAGGGAATAAAAGTGTTGATTTTTAGTCGTTGCGATGTTGCAGAAAATCTTGCTCTTAAATAAAGGCTTTTAGTTTTTATACTATTTTTTTTTTGAATTTCGTAAGCTTTTTAGATTAAAAAGGAAGTGAGTAACTTCCTCTCCCTAGTTTATTTGAAGTTTAAATAGTTCTCAATGCTACCTATAAGTTTTAATGTTACAATTCAATCTTATAGTTATGTCTTTTTGTTCCCAGGTCTTGCTAGACTACTTTAATGATGATCATTATCAAATTTCAACCATCATTTTTATTTTATAATTTATAGTAATTTTTTTGTAAATTTGTTTTAAAACTAAGTATTTCAGTTACCTAATGATTACGATGCAGTTGAGGAAGACGATATAGATGCAACAGCAAATTACGTCGAACAAGTCCGTATTGTCCCAAAACGCAAGTTGGGAATATATCAGAGCTCTCGTTTTGCTCGAATTCCAGTTCGTAATCGTATCAGTTTTCCGCATTGGCACAATAGGTTTAATTATGGTTTCGTGCGCAAGATTAACATTGACAGGTATATTAATTTCGTAACTTGATAATCAAAGTAGAAATGGAATGTGACGGTTAGACGGGACATTCATGCATTAATTTTAGGCCTCGTCCTTTCGGTTCGTTGCGATATGCGAGCAGAAACACACGCTTCATGCGAAATGGTTTCAACCGCATACTTTGGCGTTCAAATACTGTGTTACCACGAAACCATACTTTTTATGGTCGAGGTGGTCGTTTTATCGGTGGTAATTTATCCAGTAGTAATTTTAACCGCGCTAAACGGTCAGCCGTGACAAAGGAAGAATTGGATAAGGAACTTGATGAATACATGAAAAAAGGAAAACATCCACAGATTGACGTTTCTGATCTCAAATAAGTTTTTCTGTGTTTGTTATTCACTTTTCATCTGTCTCGTGAATTTCTTTAATTCTTAGGATTCCGTTCAGAAATTCTTAATTTTTAGTCTGAAAATGACTTTATTTGTGAGTATTGATTCTTGTAAACCAACATAATTTGCAGTTTTTATCATATTCGATAAAGATCAAAACATATATTGGATGAATATTTGAACTTGATTTTTTGATGTGCTTGTCGTAATTTTTGTTGAATTTTGAAATTTTTGGGTGCTTTGACAAATACAGCATGTCAAGATATGCCTATTTGGATCTTTACATCTACTTCATCTGAAAAAATAGCGTTTCAATTTGTTCGCTTGAATCAAATAATAGCATACGTCCTTGTGTTAGCACGACTGCATGTGCCATCCAGTTTCCATCGAATTTTCTTACTTTAGTAAGTGTGCGAAGCATGGTTTTATTTACTTAAACTCAAGCAGTGAACCAGTTAACGATACGCTTAACACGTAATGCGCATTACCAGATGTCATAATTTGAGTTACTTATTTCATCATTGTTGCTGACCCATTTCCGCTGTTTTGATGAGCAAGTTTAATTTTTTGTGATGATATTTCTCTTGGACATCAAGCATCTGACCTAAATCGCGATGATTCAAGGATGCGATTCAAAGTTTACGAATGTATTTGTTATTTTGTCTTGCTGTTAGACGATCATTAAGGATTCATTATGCGAAATGAGCGGACCATTCGGGTAACATTATTCCTGATGTTTTCTAAAACTTTTATCAACTATTTCTGAAGAATTGTACTTAAATAATAAATTACTTTCGAAGGAATATTTCTCGTGACTTCTGTTGCTCTTATATTGTTATTGCCTTTGTTTTTTTTTTTGAGAAAATTCTGGTTGATGGTTGGAATCTGTTTCCTTTAATGTCATCAGTGCGGTTTTTTGATTTTTAATGAAATTTCGCTATTGGGAAGTCAGATATTGCATTGTAGCTATACGAAATTAGAATCATTTTTCATCTTCAAACGCAGTGAATTTGCACCATTTAGGCGCATTGTTTTTCAGAAATTTTATTATGTAATTGTCTGATCTTCATCGCAATGTCAGTGCTGTCATGTGTGCAGTCGCGGAGGAAGCTCGTATTACGTCCCAGTCTGAGTCAAACTTATCATCCGCAAGACCTTTTACCGTTAGCGATTAATTCACGTCGTTACTTCTTGATTTGTTTAAATTTCCTGAGATATTTGCATTATCATTTTGCGCTGGACAACTCTAGCATCGATCTCAACAATCGGAGGGAAGTAGTGTTTGATTCAATCTCTGTTAGAAATTTCGAGATGGAGAAGTCGAAAATCCGGTGGTATGACATGGAAAAAGTGAAAAGTTTCGAAAAAAAGTGGCAGGTAAAAAAAAACTTCGTCTCATGGCTGATGAAAAACAAAGGAAGAATTGAATTTGAAATACACACACACTCGGGCAAAGCCTTTTAATACATTATGTAGCAAAGAATATTGGCAGTTGTTGTAGTTATGCTGGCTAACAACAGTGGTGGTGATCGTGTTTTGAGCAAAACTAGCAGTCGTAGCAGCATGAGTATTCGCAACAATAGTAAATCGACTAAGGGGATGTAAGCTTATAACTTTTTAATCCATTGATTTCTTCTTGCTTTTTCCAAATCTTTCATGAAGACTCATTTTGAGACCAAGTTTTGCCCTCAGAAAAATTTTATATAAAAGTCTCATTTTGTCATTGAGGAATTCCATAATTTTAACTTGATCAAAAGATCTATTCCAATTTAGCTAGACAATTTAGACGTAATTAAATTTGAGGCCTTTCATAGTGGCTTTTTCTTATGATAATATTGCCTTAAAGACTTTTCATATGCTCTAAGCAAGTCTTTATAGTCTCGACCAATCAAATTAGATTAAATTAAGTAATCTCTGAACTGCTTTGTATCATAGAAATACTTAAGCACTCAACCTGGAAATAATGTTTGGGATTTTCTCTTTTACTTTTTATTACCAACTTTACATTTATTCTTACAATATTATTTGTGCTATGGTACACACCGTAGCATATTTGAATGTGTGGGAATAAGTATAGTTAAGTAATAGTGATAGTACCAGAAATCATAGATAACTATATTGCTGGATATTATGAGGAAAGCATAACTTAAAAGTTGAGATAAGCGCAAATGTGTAAGTATAAAATATACCTATATGTAATTATAATTAAATAGCACCCAGTGAATACAAGAATGCATCACTAGATGATCGGTTTACAAAAATTATAATAAGAAACCTGATGCATTTTTCTAAATAACGTGCGTTTTGTTCTCTTATTTAAAAATTCCAAAAAAGAAATTTCATAGGTCACCAAATAGTTTGATAATTTTCGAATTACCTTTGGAATGGAATTTCACGCCATGATTTTGGAGATTGAGATGTAAAAGCGAACATGCATCACCAACACAGCGACAAAGAATCAAGAAAAACGTGCGATTTTCGGATTGCATTGATTTGGAACAAGCAGAATATGCTATCAATACACAAGCAGAAAGGTACAATGCAGAATACACAGATCGGGCTATAACTGATGGGTCTTATAGTTCTGGTTAGTACTTTTGTGCTTTTTCTTTTTTTTTGAAAAGAATTTTACGAGAAAAAACGCTTTTTCTTTCTATTTTTTGCAATTTTCTCGAACACTTTGTCAATGCTGATATTTAAACAATTCATTTTGAGTTAAAAAAAATTCGATCCAATATGAACAATAGAATCATTATCACAAAGAATATGTGAAAGTTATGTAAACATTTAAAAGGATTTATCGATCGATGGAATAGAAGCACACTGGTAAAGGTTCCAACTGTTAGAGGCATTTAAGAAAAATAATTTAACATTGATGAAGCAGCAACGAGTGTTATGAGTTCTAGTCATCTATCGATATTTTTTTTTCTTTTTTTTTCGTTTCTTCTTTTTTTTTTTGTTTGTAAGGAAAGAAGAAAGATAAGTTCATTTGAGATTTTTGATTGATTTTTTGAAACTCCAAAAAATAGAGGAAAATTTAAAACGATCAATATTACCGAAAAAAAACATTAGATAAAATTTTTTTATTTCTAAAATATCTGCACAATGTTTCTAATGTATTTTTCCTTTTTTTGCAATACACAAGGAAAGTCTTAGGAAATAATCTAACATACATTCATTCAGTATTAATTACAAATCTTACATCGTCAGGCTATTTCAATTACAAATTTATAAAAAAAACAAAAACTCAAAGAAAGAGACCAATTAAATTGAATTGAGTTAACGAAAATATGAGCTAAAGTATTTCCAAAAATCAGATCAAAATCGGATTTAATAAAATTTTCAATCTTAATGAATCATTTTGATAAGTGTTTCCCAATCTATATTCTTTTTTTAATAAAAATTTTCAGCTTTGGAGTTGCAGCTACAAAAATATTTTTGGTTACCAATAGAAAGTGAATTGAGATGGTTGGTCGGTGAAAAATGCGTTCATTTGGAAAGTGTTCGATGGTTTGGCCGCGCTATCACCGGTATGGTTCGAGTGAAAAATTTGGATTATGAAAAAAAAGTTTGTATTTAAAAAAAAACATGATTATTAATGACATAATCCATATTAAATTTTCTCCTTGGCTCATCAGATAACATAATTGGACTAAAATTTCTAAATGTTACCAATTCTATTTATATGCCGGAATTATCGAATCGCTAACTTTTCAGTATTTTTATTTCCCCAATATTTTTTCTATATTTTTGTACAACTTATCGTTATCACTGCTGTGATTAATCAAACATAGTTTAATCTTAAAACTCCCTAGAACGTTCCAGTTGATTAGGATGAATTAATGCAATAATCGAAGTAAATTTTATGATAATGTAACTATAAAAACAACCTGAGATATTTTCAAGATGTTATTAAATTTAACTTTCAAAAACATTGCAGGTAGAAATATTGTATACCTTTAACGACTGGACTACCTTACATACTGTAAAAGGTACTTATACAGAGTAAGTATTTGCTGCCTCGGCAGATCTACTGAATTGACTTAGCTATTGCAATTTCTTTGAGGAAGGGATTTGATCAACAAAGATTTGAAAAATTCTTTCTCTATCTGTTTAGAAGCAGAAGTTTCCGATGGGAACATTAAATTCAATAACGAATGGGAGGAAGAACATCAAACTTAATAAAGAGTAATGGGATTTCAGGAACTTGTTAACTGCAGTAAACTGTTTTAATAGAATGATTTTTTCTGGAATTTGAATGCAACAGTTTACTGTTTATAAAACTATGCATATTACCCACAATAATATAATAATTTTAAAAATTGCAGATCACCGTCGCCGCAAGAGGACCGATTCTCATTCTACATGTCCCTGCCATTCCTCAAACTCGATTTATGCATTTATTTCTATATAAGGTTTGAATGTAATGGAAAAGTATATCAGGATTCCAATAGCGGTAGGAATTATAAATTTATGTGCCATTTAGTTACAACATCCGAAATAATAACAGATATTAATAACGCTTTCTTAAATCCATTTTTTGATTCCAATTGCTCAATATTTTTCTGATCTATCCGCATGTTAATATCTAAGTGTAGCAGTCGTACTGTATCATTTCATAAATAGTTTGGAAGCGACTATTGCCGCTAAATACAATAAATTTTGTTGCTTCGAAACTTAAAATTCCCAGAGATTTTTCATATTTCTTCACTATCTATTAATAGTATTTTCGGTGAGTCACACTAAAAATCGATGTTTGCGACCTTCAAGTTATTTTAAATTTAGGATACCAAGCCAAATCTTAGGAACTGTAATTACATCTTTATTACACTTTCCAAAATTTGTATTGCAGTAACGTATTCGTTCACTACGACTTACTTTTTCCATACCAGTGCTTATACGCTGTGAACTTCTTTTGCCAAAATATGAAGTGATAAGTAGAGCAGCCAGCATTATTTTTGTATAAGTAGAACAAAATTGCTGCTGCATTTTCATTTCTAGCTGAAAATATCATTCAAAAGTCAACAGAAACATGGACACATGTACACAGCCATCCATGTAGAGAGATGAAAGCTTTTAGACATTGAAAAATAGAATTATATAAATAATTTAAAAAATTGATGAAACTTATAAAGACAAAATTGGTGTGATCTGCATGGGAAATACTGAATAAGACAAAACTTGCAATCAGTGAAAATTGTAAAATATAATCAGCACAACTGTACTGAATACCACGGCGAGAATTCACCATAATATCCCTGTCATCACTGCTGCACTAATCCAATATCTATTAATAAACTACGTTTTCCAGCCTACATCTCGCGAAAAGTTCTTTCTGTTTGACTATGATTTTGAGACAGGGCAGGATTATCCGAATTTTTTGAATCAGAAATCAATTTACATTTAAAGCGAGACTGTTTAAAAATTTTAGAGATTTGTTATTACTACAAAGACTGGAAAACCTTTAGTACATCGAAGAACTTTAGAGATACTGTAACAACTATCAACAGGCTGACAAGCAAACTTCAGTAAATATTTTGTTGCTGTCAAGTGTCATATTTTGACCTAATCGTACACCGGAATTTCTTTGGGCATTAATGAAAAACATAATATCATTAAAACAATAAAATCAATTAGTAAGTAGCGTGATAAAAACATAAATATATTATATTAGGAAATAAAATGTTATACTGAGAAATACGAACACTTGCATAAACAGAAGCTATATTTATACTGCTCAACGAGACCTAAAAGAAATGGGATAGAGAGATTGTTGATACCATCTAAATCGGGTAGGTTTTGAGTATTAGTAACTGTGAGTTTGTACATGATCTAACTACAACTACCAACATATCAATAAGTAACTTCATTACCGAAGCAATTTATGTACAACATATTTTCGTTAATAATTCCTATCCCTTTCCTGGATAATCTAATACTCAATTAATAAGCGTGTTTAAAATTTAGTTAAAGTGAAAAATATAGTAAAGAAATGGCATACATTTCGATCTTATTTTGTCATCATAATTCCTAACAAATGATATGGAAATAATAGAACACACGGATTCCCCAAAACAAATAAATCTACAACAATTTTTTGTTAACGAAGAAAATACTATGAAATTTAAAAGACTGGAAGAAAATCGATCACTGCCTCATGGAAAAAAGTCCGCAACATAATATGGGCCAATCAAAAAGGATAGTATGACATCAAGGAAAACTATATAAAGACTATTAAAGATAAACTAAAATATCCTTATCTATCAACATCTTTTTTCCAACACGCTAAATAACATTTCCGCAGCACTAAAAATAAAGTTCATTTAGTTTTTTTTTCCCTTTAAGTCTGATATTTTTCGAGCGGCGAATAGACAAAGATTGGGAGGTTTTGATGAACAGGTGAAAAAAATCGAAAAAACTCAGTAAACACTGTTCAATCCTTGCTGTTCTCAGCTTTGCATAATTAAAAAATCTATCTAAACGAAATAGTGAAAATAAAAAATAAAATTAAAAAAAAATCTATTCCCAACTACGAGTGAGCAATAGTCAAATAGGAAAAGCTATGAACAAATTTACGGATATATGATCAGAGATAACGATAACCGGGCTCTAAACCAAAAATACAAAGATGCAACTGTTTCATCCTCTTATACTCACTATGATTAAAAAAAAACTGATTATCTAAATAATTTGAAAGAATTTGATGAAGTTCCAGCTAAAAAAGTGGAATAACTTCTTGACCTCAAGAACCATTGTCTTGAATTAGCACTTCAAGGAAGAGAACTAGAGAAATCCAGTCATGATAATATCGATAAGAAATGAAACTCTTTGATTTTCGCCACTGCAAACAACATAAAGTAATTAACAATTGCAGAATACCGGAAACAATCAAAAAAACTGTTGCAGTCGAAAATACAGTAAAAGGCACACCCTGATGAATAAAACTAATTTTCATCTTTTTGCAACATTCCCAGTCTCCTGCAACATTCATCAATATGAATTTGGAGCCAGTGATGGTGTGGAAAAATTTGCCGATATTGGTGAAATGGAATTATTGACTGATGCAACACTTCCCGTCACCTCGGATGGCAGAGTCGTCGAATTCATACTCGTCGTCATATTGTTATAATCAATCCTATATTCACCTGCAATTTCGTTGTATTTTGGTTCATTCGAACTAATTAATTTTTAATTTATTCCAAAAGCTAAATAAGATGCCGTATATAGCAATAAATTAAATACGCATATTTGGAACAATGTATAACAACGCCAAGTTCATCTGTCAAGAAAAAAACATCCAAGTCGAAGACATCATCAACAATCTTATCAATTTCCATTTTTCGAAAGGGAGCAAATAACGCGGGAAAGTGTAGTACTTCCAGATCATAGCTATTTTATTAGTAAAATCTCATTTGTTCTCATCCTCACTCAATAAAAGTTCTGGAAACTTACCACTTGCGATAATTTGTAGCATTGTTGGCTGAGTACAATATGCAAATGGATGACGACCAGCACAGTTGCAACATGATAACCCATTGGGATTTGGAGGTAGTGAAAGCGGTGATGGATAAGCTGGGACATTAGCTGTAGTAGCTAATAGGGAGAGCGGCCGTCCCAGTGATAAAAGTGGACCACGGGGTGGTGGAGGTACGTTTGTTAATGAAAATGGTGGACAGGCTACACTAGTACAACCCATCATACCAGCAGAACAAACAGTTGTTACGGGTAAAAATGTAACAGATAATGAAGGATGACATACAGGTGCTTCGGTCAAGAGTGGGTTGAACGGTAAATGAGTATTACTGCTTGTTGGCGGCTTCTGAAAACGCAAAAAATGATTTTAAAGTCATAATTAAAAACAATAAAGCGCAAAATAGTCAAAAGAATTCCATGTAAGGGAAATAAAATGTCTAAAAAATAAATGGCAAGGGAATGCTGGACTTCAGTATAAAGCTTGTAATGTTACAAAGATTAACTCTTTTTCATGGCATCTAGTAGATAGAGGATAGTATAAACTTGTTCTAACTCTTCAGTGAGATCGCATTAATATGTAATTCCAGAGCACTCTTACAATCCAATCTATTTCTTTGTTATATGGTTAGATGATAACATCATCATTCCTCTTAAAACAATTATGGTGAATAAAAAGTATTAAGCTTACTTTCAAATCAATAAGAGAAGGCAAAGAACGCGATATCAGTGACTGAGGAGCCGAAAAAAGTGAAGAGCTTTCTAATCGGGATGGATAAAAGAAATCACGCACTATCGGGCAAACCAAGACACGAGCTGGGAGATCTGGCAGTGCACTGCAATAAATTTAGAAGCAATAATTTCATTAGAATCGTTAAACAATGACTACAACACACAATAACCAACGGTACAATCGTATGCTAGTATCTTAGCAATTAACACCAAATCTTTAACGTATTCTGAAAAAATTTTATTAAATAGTTTCTCGCCAAATTTAAAAAGTTGTATAAATTTCTAGTTTGTACAAATTTCGCATTGATCGTGAAAAAGAATAAATTATACCGAATGTAGCCCAAAATAGAATTAGGTTGTGAACGATTGAGATAAGGGAGAACGCGGGGATTTCCCGTTTGAGCTCCTGCTTCACTCGGGAAACTATCCAACAAACGATTATGCAAATCAGCAATTTGATCGGCCGTTCTAACAATATATGATGTTTTCATATCACTCCATTCTATCTGAAAAGAAATACATTTATAATTATTTCGAAAAAAGGTAAAAATACATCTCAAAAAAACTGTACCTATATTTAATAAACTGCTTCCTCATTAGAACAGTGGAACAAGTAAGAAAAAGACTATTATCCTGTACCTTATAAATAGCTTCTTCATTATATATATTTGTAATCACTCAAAACATAATGATTTTAAAAGAAATGTTCAAAAAACTGTACCAATATTGAAAATATATTCGGAGAAGAATCGTCATTCGTAACTTCAGCATCTAAACGAGATATGACAACCGGTACATCGTCATTTTCGGATGTAGAAGCTTCACAATTCTGCAAAATAGAAATATAAGGTTTGGTTCATTGGCACGATATGATTAGACTTGATGATAATGCATAATAATGCATATAAAATATACTTTTTCAAAATTCGTAAAAAACAAGAAAAAAACTAACTGCAGTAATCAATAAAGTAAATAGAGACATATGATACACGAAGGTTTTATTAACATCATGAAGCTTTGACTATTTAGTGAGGTACAATTCAGACACTTATTATCAAATGCTACTAGTACTCACTGATAGTAAAAATGCTATTAATCCACGTGGACAACCTGTTTCTCAATCGGAGCAGATGGTTGAGGAGACAAAGTTTCCAAGTATGTTCGAATATTTTCAAGCTTGATTTTATGTTCCACAGAAAAAGCTGCATGATGTTGTGCTGCGGAAACCACCATAAGCAACTGAAATAAACAATTTACATCCACAAAAAAGTATTAAATTAGCAAACATGCCGGTTTGCATTCTTTCCAGCAACTGCATACCTTTCTCATTTTCCCATTTTAAGAACATAGCTACGGTCGTCAATTTGACTTCCAAAAATCTATCTTGCAGTATGAACAGTTACTTTACGTGAGACTAGAAACTATTTAAAGGAATACCCTAACAATTAAAAATTCACTACGCTTTCTTTTTTGGATTTAAAAAACAAATTTTTTAAATTTTCTTAAAAAAGACCGAATCTAGCATTTCCTCCTTTTCGAGAGACGATTTGTTGACAAATGCAGCAATAAGTTCATCGTACAGCCGCTCTATTAGCCTGAATAGCATAAACTGGTCGATTTGATAAGTAACTTATCTGTTGAGGAATATAAATATCTGTCTCAACAAAATAAAAACAAAAGTGACTGACTGAAAACTGAATTGGAATGTCCAGAACGACTAAAGAAACACACCGCATATATGCGGTAGCTGCTGGGCGATTCGTACAATGCAAAAGACACAATATCGGAAAGGCAAGTTCAAGAAGTCGACTGTATGATGCCGATTCTACGAAATTTTGTAAAAAATAAGCATCATTGTAGCGCAATTCATACTGACGAAGATACAATGACTTTGAACGTACAGCTGTTTCTACGCATGATCCTATGTATCTGCAAATAAAAAATATAATTCGGACAAAACAGATAACAAAAAGACTATGTGACAAATTTTGCTCGAATGGGTAATAAATTGTAATTAGGTGATTACCATGAATAAACTAAAGGACAATCCATAATTAATTCATCTAATCTATTCATGGATCATGCAACATAATTTGACTAGAACAATCCATTTTATAAACAGACATTGCGTCACACGATTTAAAGTGCTAATCATCCTGGCAGAAAGACAATTACATAATTTTTCAAAAAGTTGGAATAAAATATGATGTGATATATCAATAGGGATTATTTAAAGTTCGGAATGATTAGGAAACTGTTATCTGATGTCGGAAATCACTAGCTGCCACACCGTCTAATAAGTCAAGTGTGAGTGAATGAAATGCTAACTGCCAACCTTTGCTCATAAGCATTCAAGCATTGAATCACCTCTGCAATAGCTTCAACTCGTTGTGAACGCTTCATTTTGCACATAGCCAATAATAGGTCTGAGTTCGCATCATCAACTTAAAATCAAATTTATGCATATGACAACGATAAAGGAAGCATCATAAAAAACGGTAAAGCGACCATCATAAAAACGAAATTAAATTTATAAAGACAACAAAGACTTCAGTCCACGAACTGGGTAGTTATAATATTTACATCAACTCTTGACGAAAATTCCCATGAATTGAAATTCCTCTAAAAACAAATATAAATGATATGAATAAATCTAAATCTTTATAATGTAGATTCTAAAGAAAAGAAAAAATTTCACCTGTCTGGGTACTTATGGAGCGAATCGACTCTTTTTCAGTCATCAATGCGACGCTTCGCCTTTCCATACAGCGCAAATCATCAGATTCGATTTCTAGCCCTGATCCTGATAAAAAGCCATCTTCATCTGGATCGCCCGAAATAACACTACCCGCGGATGCTGAACTGGTTTCTCGACTTGCACTTCTTACAATGCAATTTCCATTTATATTTGCCTGTAATTATAAGTGAAACGTTATCTTGAAAGACAAATTTTTCCAGTATAGTGATTCGACATAAAACACCAGCAGTCTCTGGGATTGTCCGATTATTTGATATAAAGCCTCTTCGATTAATTTATTTATTAAATATAAAAAACCCCCAGCAGTCTCTAGGATTGTCCGATTATTTGATATAAAATATCTTCGATTAATTTATTTATTAAATGCAAATGTATACTCTCTTGGCTAATGTTATAGGACTACGTTCAGTTTACTTAAGGATATATCATACATAGTAATTCCAACAAAAATTACCATGGTATTATTGTTGACAGCATTTTGTTGATTCTTATGACCGAAGCGATTATTGTACTGCTTTGATCTACGGTGGAAAATTGTTGTCAGAGCGGAATAATTCGAATCCACAAGACTCCCATTACGACATAAGCTGTTAGCATTCGAAAACTGACCACGATATGTGCTACTATTACCAAAGTCATTAGCTCCGTACTGTTGCATAGCCTATCAAATTCTCTTTTGTAAACATTTACTGTACAGAAATTATCATTAAGATTACGATAAATGTTTCGAAAAATTCAATTATATTAAAAAAAAAACAATGGATTGCAGAAAGACAATAAAAATACAACTTGAATAAATAAAAATACAACTAACTATAAGACAAAAACATATAAAGATTTGACAGCTTTAAAAAGCAAAATTCAACATAGAAATATCAAAAGTGTCATTCGATACTGCTCGTTTTTTGTCATAATGTTTCATGCTGTATTATCAAGTTGTTCTTTATATTAAGTTGTGTTCTATTAATAAGTGTTTTATCAAACTTCTATTTCATTTTTTTTTCCTTTCTATGATAAATTCTTTACAAAGCATATTACCTTCCACTACAAAAATAAGGAACTGTCTTAATGTCTGACAGGTACACATATAGGATTTCAAATTATTACGAATTTCTTTCATATTAAGATAATAGAAAGAATATTGCGAAGGTACAGATATGGATAGATGGATTGTTTTCTAATTAATAGTAGTCAACATTCTGTAATAAAACTTACATTTACTTCAGCAAAATGATTTCTTGTACTCGTACTCCGCTTCTTTCTACCCACCATTTCAGTGAAATTTCTGTAAGATAAAGTCACAGTAAGATTCACAAAAGCAAATTTCTGTTTTAGCTATCAATCAAGCTTTGATATAATTGATAAAAGATTGTTGCAAATCCATCAAACCTTAACTTATTGAAAGACTGTCCAATAAAAAATTAGCCCAAACTGAGGAAATCTCCTATTCGAAACTTTTCACAACACTCGATCAAAGTGTTGAGAACAAAAATTGCACAGTGAGTCCGATATCTACGAACGATTAGTATAACCTGTGAGTCACTGAACATTTACGTCATATGAATTGGCGCCGGTAATTCCGCGATGCAATAAGGTTGACAATGGCATCTCGCAGAAGCTATTCACGTTGTCCGTCGAGCAGACTCCACGCAGTTCAAAAACAAATCTCATACTATTATTTAGTGGCTTTTTCGGGTTTTGGTGCTCTGGAACATAATGCTATATGATACAGTGGCATAATTTTGAAATGCATTAATCCTCAGTGACAATCACCTCTGCAATTGTTAAGCGAAAGAGGTACAAAACCGATTAATTGGTACCATAAAAAAATCGGGTGATTTTTAGAGCACGAAATTCCATTCTGCAGAAATTAGATCATTGTTTTCCGAAAATATAATGATATGTTGCAATACGCACCGCAAAAATAACATTCTTACAAAAAAAATACAGGAAATGTAGCAATATGACATTCAAATATTTCTATCTCTTCAGAACTGAAGTGAATGATTTTCTTAAATCCATCTCTGTGAAATATAATTTCACGTTCATTTGCATGCATAAACCTCCAAGCACTAAATTTTGGGCAAAAAATTTTCGAGCATCTTTATCAACATACATTCAAATATTTTATTACATATAAATGACACGGTGGAACTCTGTGAGATCCCAAACGATCTTCTATAACCAAGGACATTAACGGTAAAATAATGTGGTTTAATTAAAATTATTCTTTGATTTTTCTTTTACCCATAGGTTGCTACTGCAATGTTGCATCATTTCGCATTTGAGCGTTTTATATAATTAGTGCAGATCTATTTGCACACAAAGGTTAGCTTATAATATGATAAGTCACTCATACATTTCCCTGAGAGCAAGGATTGAAAGTAATTCAACAAAAGTAAAATTTTCCAAAACATTAAGCAGTTGCATCTGTTTTAACAGTATATGTTTCATACCGATATTTAATACTCTTCTCCTCCTGCACTTCTTTTGATTCTTCACATTTTATAAAGCGATCGTAATTAACTTCAGGAAAAAAGACATCAGCCGAAAAATCGCCCTCCACACGGGTGATGTACAGCTGCAAATTTTCATATATATTTAATGAACTGGACTTAACAAAAGCATAGGAAATCACAGTTTATAACCTATTAATATGTCTGAAAAATTGAAATTCTGAGCACTAAGAAACTAAATAAAAAAATTGCCTGATGTAGAAATGGTGAATTAAGCCCTAATTCATAAACTTCCCGACCACCAATATTCCATATCGTCTCGATATTCTCCATATCCTGCAGTAAATTGACTGCACTTTCAAAACTTCGAGCCACTATTATATTCTCGTCTGTCACTTCTTCCATCTATAAAAATCATGGTGAAGAAAGAATCTCTAGCTTCATCTATTTTTTTTAAGTAGAACAGATTTTACTAAATGAAACAGAGACAAACAATTCCTATTGAAAATTTAATTGGAACTGAGCTATCATAATCTTGAAAAACAAACAGAACAATTTAACAAAAAGTTTTCCTTCCTTCTCTCGTACGACTAAATTTAAATAAGATTGGCATGGAATCATTTACCGCAGTAGAATCATTATCGCTGCTGTAATGAATTTCGCAAGAATGTTAGAAAAGAAATGATTAGGATCATTTTAGAAAAACTACAACTAATAATGAGGTTTAGGCTCCAGCAGTTTTTAATAGTTCGTGAAAAGTTTAGAGGATCAGATCGGGAAAAACTGCAGAAGCAGCTTAATCTTCCCAAAACGTTTGCTTAGGTATTCAGGCTTTATGTTACTACCAGTTTCAAAAATAAAATTAGGAGATAAAAACCGAGTAAGAAAAACGAGCACTTTTCTACTGAGAACGATGTTGAATCGATTCTTCAATGGTCTAAATTTTGGTGGTATACTTTCCCAAACCTTTCGACCCATTATCACAGCATTTTTCTTCCTGCTATCTCTTGTTAATGTAGTCAGCTTAGAAAACCGAGCCATTTCTGCCGGTAGATTCCATGGTAAGCCACCATTTCGTCCAATTCCACCACAATCATCCACGGCAACAATTAAGTTCATATGGATAGTTCTGGTCATTAATGTTCTGAAATATCCCCCTTTAATTGCTGGAAAACTATATGCATTATACGGGAAGGCTAATTACGAAGTATAGAAGTTGAAATAACAGCCTGTGAATTTAGCAAAGTCATTTTCAAGTCATTCAGCCGTCCAGACAATGAATAAAAACCCTTCCGACACTTCTCAGAGTTCAGGAAATTTCTCAAGAGACTCACAACTTGCAATAAACCTTCAAGAAAACCAGTAGTAAACTCCAAACAAACCAAACTCTACGAAGATAGCAAAATACGGCCCATGGAATAAGTCAACTGCTCAAATCAAATAATTTTGCCGCCAGTGTTGCGGTAGGAATTGCCGGCAGACAACAGGATGCTTTGGTGGGTCGGTTGAGTTTGTTGTGGGATTCGACGTGGGCAACGTGAATTACGTTGTTGTGACTAAATAAATGTACATTATGATGACAATATAGTTTCAGCATGACTATTGAGAATGAAAAGTCGAGATGTCACAGCTTAAATACATTGTCGACTTCTTGTTTCGCTTTTCTTTTCCGAAAACCAACTGGAGATTGGTTTCAAGCATGTTGCACTGAACATGATTGCTTCCTGGTGGATGCATGCATTCCGGCAATATTGTTTTTCTCTGAAAAGTAATTTTAATCGTAAAAGTTTATTACCAAATGATGGAAGTAAAATATCACAGAAAGTATTTGCAATAAGTAACGCGGTAAACGCAGCATTAAAAGCGTCTCTATAAATTAACGGCTGTAACTTAAATGCTTAAAGATTGACTACCGAACACTGTTAATAAATTGACTTTTTCAGGCATTCCAGTAATGTAGGGGCAATATTAGATATATCAAAGGCACTAGCGAGATTGATGATCATATTGAAGTAAGTTTAGTATTTAGAATATTTATTCTGGAAATGAATAAATCAATTTTTGTAAATCGATTTTTGTTATGAAAAACTCAACTGAATAGCTAGTCAAAAATTAAAAGTAAAACTTGTATATTTTTCAGAGAGGAAAAACGAGCACTGAGAGAATGTGAGGAAGATAAGTTGCTTGATTTTGTCTGCAGATTCTGGGATTATATTTCGGAGGCGGTATGTCACGATTGTGTCAGAATTTTCGAATCGCTAATGAAATTACATCTTACAAAATGCGTGTCTAATGGTCCTCTTTCCTCATGGGCTAAAAATGTTGGAAAATTCCTAATTGATTCATCTTCGTCTTGTCGTAGCCGTTATCGATGTATTGTATGTTTTTTTTTTTGAAAAATTTTTATTTCATCAAAATTAGCAGCACTTTTGAAGAGTTGCGGCTAATTTTGTTTTATTGATAATATCATTCTCTCCGTTACTATATTTCAATTGGTATATAGCAAAGTAGTGCCATCGTTTTCGAAAGGTCTTGCAGATAATTTCTATAAAGAGTTATACACTTCATTATATATATCCCTAAAAGTTTGCTGTAGAATTATTGTTTAGTCAAAAATTTTTTGTCACTTAATTTTTTTTAATAGATAATTTAAATATAACTGTAGCAGAACTTTTCGTTTATTGATAATATCATTCTCTCCTTTACTATCTTTCAGTTGGTATATAGCAAAATAGTGCCATCATTTTCGAAAGATCTTGCAGATAATTTCTATAAAGAGTTATATACTTCATTATCGAACCCAACTCTAGTTGTTGTGGTAGGAAACATATTCAGAATTTTTTCCTTTATTCTATTTCTTGATTATTTCTTCTTTCTGTGTAAAAAACTTTGACAAAAGTTGTAATATGTACAATATGCAAATATTTTAGATGTGGACATGTTTTTTGCTCGTATTTACTAGTTTTGTAGTTCCGTTGTATTTATGTAATTATATATTACTCACATTGCAGGTCAGCGAACTCATTGTTTTTGATATTGTCAAGAATTTGGATAATTTAGATCGACTTCAGCTTCATAGCTATTTATTATGCGCATCGCTTCAGTCACCAATAAAAGCAGTTCGTAGTGCTGTTCAGAAACGATTGCTGCCTGAATTTTCGAAAAATTCTCTGCTTTTGGATTGGGTAATTGAAGAATTGAAAACATTTCAATCAGGTTTGCTTGTCTCATAGTGCTTAATTTCTAATTATTTTCAAATGTATTTCAGTATAAATCTTAGGTAATCTTATCGTGACTGCTTAAGTACTAATGAGATTAGTTAAGCGAGCCGTAGGTGCTGAAAATTTTTAGTACTAAGCAAGGTTGTGAATGATTCCAAATCAACATTGGTAATGATATATCCAAATATTACAGAAAGTGTATATGATAGAATAGGCTTAGAAACATCGCTTTATATTGCAAAATTTTGTCTGTTCCACCAGAAAGGGAACGGGAATGTTCTAGAGTGGACTTCATTCATTGATGAAAGCTTGGTAATTTCTGCGCTACTCAGTGCCAGTACACAGGTGAAGAACAAAAATTTTTAATTCATTTTGGAAACATTGACTTTGCTGAAAAAGAAAGCCTGAAATTGTTACTCTCGTACTTTCCAGTCTCCAATAATGAATCCGTGTTAATTACCAGTTTCAATCGGCCCCATGCTGGAGTCTTGCCTATCATCTTGAATACAGAAAATGAAATGTGAAATAAAAATTAATGTCCCAAGTTATGGCATTCATCGTCATCGACATTAATGATGATATGTAAATTTCATATTAATATCGATCATACATTTAGTTCCTGGTTGACTGTCTATAAAGTTTAGCGTTTAGATTCGTTTAATGGCCTGGAGTCTGATTTGTGACCATCCCAAGATGTCAACTTCGATTTCTAACCACCAGTTGTTATTTTGTGAATGCTTTTTGGTGACAAATATGACCGAACAGTCACCTACTATCAGACTAGTAATATTGTCTAATTTGAAAAAGGTAGACGCTGTTTTATCTCTCAATGTTTATCTGGCACATCAAGTTTTGGGTTTATTTAAAAATCATAGCCAGTGGTCGCTTAATCTCCAAAAGCTTCAACAATACCATCTAACTGGCTGAATTACGAAATGCTTAGTTCTGCAAAATTATTGCCACTTCAAGTTAAAAAATTTATAAAAAGTCGACATTGATTGAAACCCATATTTCATACGAAGCATATTGATCTCTTATTCTTTATTGCAGTCAGGCTTTAATCGAAAGAACTTTATTATACCTTCATATGATGAAGAAATTTGTCTCTTTTTTGACATTTTTATTCTAATTTAATTTTCATTTAATTTCAACCACTGACAATTTTGTTCAGTTATTAATTCGGATTCGTGAAAGTGGCCAAAATATTTTGAAAAACGGCAGTGACGAAGACAAATTAAAACCATATGTGGATTTTATTTGCTGGTTGCGTGATTTGTGTTTTCAAAATTTAATGCAACACGCAAACTTCAACAGGCGTATAATGGCTCTTAAAATGCTAGAACATCTTTTTCTGGAGAACTATTTGGCTAACGATAACAAAGGTATTTATTTAGAATCAAATTTAACTTAAAAATTCATATACAGTAAGTTTGAAGTAGCGACACAATAGCTAACTGCATTAGTCTTCTTCTTTCTCCAGGACTTTCTTTTTTTGTTCGGCTTATATCATTGATCAAACTAACGATTTACACTGTTCCACTTACATCATTGGTAACAACATATTACTTTGTATTTATAAAGAAAATTCACGGTTTAAATCATTAGCTTGATTAATCAGTAAGTTTATTTTTGGTCATGTAGTCTTCATAGGTGGTCATCAGCAGGTTGCAATACATCTCGACCCGCCGGAATTTGTTTAGGTTAATGTATTTTCTTGGCCTTTTTTATATTTGTATACAATATATCATCTGGATTTAGTTTTTGAAAAAGTTAAGTATTCACGGATTTTCCACTCTAGATATGTGTGTGACGGACAGCTGAATTGATTTAAATTTATTTTTCTCTGATCTGACTTTGATCACTTGAAAAAATTTTTAGATATGTTTTTCAAGTTTTTGTCATCAAAATTGAGGCCAACAGAGGAACAGATTCGTCGTGTAATATGTTGTTTGGATGACTCATACCACTTGTGTCAAATTTCGGCTCTCCGTTTATTATCTTCATCATTTTTCGAAACCTGTAATTTTGTGAGTTCTTATGTCTTCTCGAAAAGCAAATGAGAATCTTTTGCTTTAAATCATCTCAGTTATTCAATGAGAATATGAAACCTATAAATTGACGTGTATTCCTTGACGTGTTTTGTTCCATCGTATGTTAATTGCATATTATAATGTATTGGATAATTTCTATGCGCCAGATTTGAAATTTAATTTGGTGATTCTTTAATTCATAGTTCATATCTATGATTAAAACTTTTATCATTAAAACAAACTTTATTTGACGTACAAAAAGTTTAAATTTGTAGGATTTTGCTTCATATTTCTCAGAAACGAAGCATCAGTTGTTCTCCATTCGGTCATTATTCACATTTACGGCCAGTTATCGTTTGCGCTTTTATCTTAAGAAAAACCCGGACAACTTGCAGAATGTTTTCCAGTATCTTCTTAATCTCTGCAAAGATCGAGTAAAGCTCATCTCACAGGATTTTTTAATGATAATAACCAACCAAGGCTTCGTTTATTCCGTGCTAAGCGCAGTCAGTGTAGTATTGGAATTTCTCGATTTTCAATCTTCTCTGTAAGCTTATTTTGAGTATTATATATTTTCTTGTTTTATTTATCTGAACTTTTGGATTAACAACTCGATACATATTTGCCAGTGCGTCACATCCACTACCTGATGAGATTGAAGAGATTTCACAAGTTTTTTTTCTACCTTTTGAAACATTCATTAAATGTTTTTTTAGTTATAATCATTTCATTTTTCTTTTCTTGTGATCTATTCCGTTTGATATTAATTTAGAAAGAACGATTGGAGTGTTCCGTTGATTAACCGTGATTTGTTACCACTGTGTTTCCAAATAAGTGAGTTAGTATCGCCTGTTGTAAACAGCATGTCGCCGGAAGGTTTCGTTCCTGATGATTACATAAGTATCATTGGTAAGTTATCCGAACACATTTTTTGAAATTCTGAGAACTTATCTTTTGAATATCTGTTTTGAATTCTACACCGCTTTTTATGAAGTGAATCATTCAAGTTAATCGATTTAATGAGTTAAAAAAATTTATTTTCAGTAAATGTTAAAGATTTCGAGAAATCAAAGGAAAATACAAATTTTTGTCAAATATTGCTAGCAAGCTGTTGGCGTTCACACAAATATGTTTCTGAAATATTTTATATAATAATCACAAAGGTTCCTTCATTTATATCTTTGGTTTTTTAACTTTGTAGTTGTTAAAAGTCTTTTTTACGACTTTTTTTGCTTTGGGGAAGTTTTAACTTCACTATTGATACAAAATATGCTATTGCATGCCTGAAATTTCATCGTTTATGAATTGAATACCGTAAATAATCCATCATTCTCATGCAGAAAAGAATGTTATTTTAATTATATTTAAAGCTTCATTACAAAATCTGTGGAAATAAATTTAGTGGCTTGGAAATTCTGCACTTTCTTCGGAAACTGTACGACATATATGCAGTTATTATTGGCGACAGCTGACGGAATGTAAACACTGTGGTGCTGTGGAAGCAGCAGTTGAAGGATTCGAAGCATTGTGTGTAAAACTTTGGTCGTTCGCTTTAGCGGGTAGTCCGGAATTTATGGATTTACCTCAGCCAGAGGCGTGGGTAAAGCAAATTATTGACTTAATTGATAACAGAAAGAGTTGGTTTTTTGCTATGTGTTTTTTATAGCTTGTGTGATTTGAACTATGAATTGACTTAAGCTAACCTCAGCAGAGAGTAATTGACATTTCTAAGATTTATTACTAAAATCCTTTCGGTATATTTCAATTTTAAACCCATATCAAGTAATACTTCAACATGTCACTCTTATTGTGCCGAATTCAAAATTGGAAATGGTGATGCCATCATTTATCATATTTTTGTTAGAGTGGATAATTTAATCTTTATGCGATACTTAAACACACTAATTTTTTTAAAAATATCTCAGTGTTGTCAAAAAACACACGCTATTCATGTTCTAGACGTATTGTGTGCAACACGTCGAAGTGCTGGTTTGCCACATTTGATTGCTTCAATCCTCGCAAAGGAACCGATCGCAAATAATGCACAATGTCTGAAGAAAACAATGATATCATTGCTTGAAAATGAAGGGAGATCATATAAAGCACAGTAAGTTTTTATATTAAGTTCTCTATTAGACTGCTTTTATTATTTTGACAACATATGAGATATGGTAATACTTTTTTATGGTATTTTTCCACGACACACCAACATTTATTCACTTGCAATTTATATTTTTCCACTGCTAAAATTTTCTCTATCTTGTCATGCTGTGAGACTACCCGCTGTTATTAAACGTTATTAAATTGACCTAGTCGGTACATTGAAGCGCATCGTGTTTAAGTTTTAAAAATTTAATTTAAGTTTAAAAGGCATATTTTAACTCCGGCATATTTTTCAGTGATAGGTAAATTTCGTGAAGGATTTTGATGACGAAAATTGGATGTTAATAATCAAATGATTATTTCTGATCTTTAAATAATACTTAAATTATTAATGATTTTTGAAAGTTTTTGAATATTTCAGAGTTCATAGCATTAATATCATGCGAGCTATTTTTCTGAACAGTTGCCTGTCTGAGGCTGTTCTGTGTTATATCGAACCTGCGGCGAACGTTTGCTTTACCTGTTTTGGTTCTAGTAATTGGGCACTACGAAGTGCTGCATCACAACTGTTCGCTGCGCTAATTAGACGGATATTTGGTATTCCTCGAAGCACGCAACTCTCATTTCATCCACATGAAAAAAATCGCTTCTCTTCTTTTGAGTTCTTCGGAAGGTTGGACAATTTAGATAAGATTTTTTTGGTACAACCCTAAAAAATGACTTTTTACTTCAGCTACTGTGCAGTAACATTACAGCTCAACATTCACTGACAATAATAATTGATTATTAATCGTTGAATTTTTTTCTTCCTTTTCTCAAACTTGCGCGATTTAATATTTGTTATCGTCAATAATTCTTGCATTTTAAATTTCAGATATAATTTATCTCTTGAAATTGTGCAGATAACCGAAGTATAAAAGTATTGCGTGTGGCCATGTTAGATGTCACAGCAAACTGAAATGTTATGAAAATGAGTTGAATTAAAATAAGACAAAATAAATTGAATTCGAATATTATAGGTTTCCAACACTGTACGACTTGTTATACCGACAATTTTATGAAAAGGAGAAATCTGTTTCACAATTGAGAATGTTTGCTGTTTTACTTCTTCTTATCCATCTATTTCCCTCTCCACGACACACCAACATTTATTCACTTGCAATTTATATTTTTCCACTGCTAAAATTTTCTCTATCTTGTCATGCTGTGAGACTCCGTGAATTATCTGTAGCGACACTTATTTCTATTTGCGAAGTTCGGGTATGAAAACGTACATGTGAATTTATATATTGCGTCATTTATTTTTGTGTGAATAACAATTGAGCATAGCAGTAATTATTTTGAACAGTCATATAAGTCATGTAGTGACAACACTCAATTTGCAGCTTTTCTGTTTGGTATTTCGAACCAACATTTCCTTTTTGCACCTATATTATGTTTATTTCAGGATGCCTATTTCCTGTTAGAATGGATTTCAAAGATCGATCTTACTGCATGTCCCCAAAATGAAATTTGTGCAATTATGTATATGGTATTTTTTAGATTAGCAAACAAAAAAGAGAATATAAGTCTTCAGCGTGATTTTTTTAAATTATTGACTAAAAAATCAAAAAAAATATTTTATATATATAAAATTGGCACTCATTTTACAAAAATCAAATTACAGTTAATAGAACTTGTTGTCGCGTTTGATGGATGTGAATTACAAAACTATATACGATCGATAGTCAGAAGAGTCGAAAATAGGAAATATTTCGAAAGATGGTGTGTTTCCTTTTGTAGTAAAATCGTCGCAATATTGTAATTAGATTTCATTTCATGCAATAGAAAATCCTATATGTAGTTACTTCTAAATGAGTAATGTCTTGGATTTAAGGAATTGGAATTCATTCGCCTGGAAATGCAAAAATTATTATTGGTCATTTCATTTTTGAAACTTTAAAAATTAGCAGCTGGAATGTAAATATGACATTATTATGTAATTTATAGTGCAGTGATCAGTCCAATTTTTTTCAGGTGTGATTACAATAGGTTTTTATTCTTGACATTGCTTGTCAAAATCAAATATCAGCTCACAGTGTCATTTGTAAAAAAGTTTGTTTTGTCAGATGCAGTATTGGTTTTCAGACCCTTAGCAAAATGGATTGCTAAAGAAATCGAAGTTATGTTTACTATCAGCTAATAAGTATTCTTATATATTTAATATTTTCTGAAATGTTTAACTTTCAGTTGGACAATTTTTTCTAACATATATTTGAAGATCGCTTGAATTTTTTTTTACTGGTTCGTGTAATACGAGCACTATTTTTTACTCCAAAATATCAATTCAGTTTGGAGAAGCATTATTTCGGACTTATTAAAAAGGGATTACTTTAGATGACAAATTTTCTTCTGAAATCAAGAATCTGTTGATGAACAGTAAGGCACTGCGCCTTGAATTCTGGCGAGCACTGTCGAAATCAACTAAAGCGAAGTTTACTGAAATTGAGATGATTCAATTAGCAGTCGAAGACATTCGAAATTCAGGGCCATTTGTGGAACGTTACGTAAGTTGCTTCTGAATAGAAAAATAAAAATGAATTGGTAGAGGGCAAGAGTTGCAAATATTCATGATATTTAAATTTTTTCTCTTTTTTAGAAAAATTTTTTCGAACTTATAATGAAATGAATGGTACGTTGCAGATTTTGACATTGTTTCTGAATAGTGCAACAGCAGACCTGGCAGGATTATTTGATAGTTGTTTTTTAAAGCATTTCCTTTACGAACTGATCACGATGAGAAGGTTAGATATATTTTGAAATTTAATATAATGTGGTATAGATTTCAATTGAAAAGGATACTCAGTGCATTCGATATGAAGCTGCGAGAATGTTGCATTCGATCTTCGAAGCAATGAGTTTATATAGATTGTTAAGGCATCTTGTAAAAATTTTTCAAAAAAAATCCTAGCATAAAAATATCTGCATTAGTAAAAATCACGTGAATTGTGAACAGCATCTTTCCAAAGACAGTTTTACTCATATTTTAGTAAAATTTGGTTTATCATAGGCAGAGTAACCAACATCTGGCAAATTTGCTCCTCATAAAATTGGATCATAATGAATGGCGTTTTGAATGGTTATATAGCAGTGCCGTTAACGAAGACCAAAAAATTCAGTCCATAGCTATTCGAGCTTTGGAATTGCTTTTGAAAAGAGGTTTTTATTATTTGTATTTCGATTATTTGTATTCTGCACATAATCTTATCAGAGCTGATAGTAAATAATAAACTTCTAATTGTTAGGTAATCCGGATTTTCAATTATGTAAAATTATCGTTCTGCTGTTGAAGAGTGAAAATGTAGCGATCAGAGAAAAAGTTAGTTTTACTTCTATTTTATGATATATATTGAAACAATTAGTATGCATTTATTGATTTTGAATGAAATCTCTGAAAATGTTAGATACTTGCGAAGTCTATTTCAAATGACAAATCTGAAACTCTGTTTGATACATAAATTTGTTAGTAGTATTTATTACTTTTAATTTTCGACTTCCTAAATTTAAGAAAAATTACAGGCAGCGGAACTCTGTTCTCATGTAGCCAGTTTGAAAATCGCTTCACTGAATCCGGAAATTTTATTCTGGTGGTTTGTTCAATATTACCCCGAAGTTGAAGAATTTATTCACCAATGTGGTAGTTTTGATAGTAATGAACATACTCATCTTTTTGATGCATGCGTTTCAAATCCTTATATTGAAGCTATTCCAATTTGCAGTGAATACTTAAGAAATGTGATGCAATTAATATCATGTTTGTAATTATTTGCTTGTCACTTCAAATGTTGTAATGCTAAATTTTCAAAAACTTTTCGATCGTTATGAAGTGGATCTTTCTTCGTAATTAGTGTTAAACTTCCGAAAAATTAAATAACCTTGAAGAAATATGAAGTCTAGCGTACTACGTGCTCATCTATTTTCTTATTTCGGCAAAAATATACCATTTCATTTTTGTAGAAAATAGTAATACATTTTTTACCAGAAAAAAAGAAGTTCAGGATTGGGCATTTCCTTCTTTTTGCGTAGAGAATATGCTGGTCTTGATCTCAAATTTTGTTCTGAAGTGCCTTCTTTTGCTTTCAACCATCCTTAAAAAAGTTTTATACTGAATAACTTGAGCATAAATAGCAATTAGTTTTATTTCCTTTTTTCTAGAATTATTCTTGCGTTGCAATTAGCTGTATCTTTTAATCTCATTTATTTTGTTTTCAAAGATGATTTTAATTTAATTTTATGGAGAAAATGATATTTCCAGACAGCATATCATACAGGAATAATTCGTATTTGTAAACAGGTGTCTTCGTTTAATACGATTTGATGAGTAACGACAGGCACTTTTCAATAAAGTCGGTAATAGTAGCATTTAACTAAATCCGAAATAGTTTTGTAGACTTTCTTAAACTGCTTTTTAGAAAAGAAGTAAGGAAGAACTGAGCAACAGATACAAATGGAAGCTCTCCCATTGTTATACACGGCGATACATGCTTTAGACAGTAATATATTGGTAATCATTAGTTGAGACTGAATAGAAATAATTTAACATACCCAAATCTGATGAGAAGAGGGGTGTTTGTCATTCTGGTCTCGCGACTAAATGCCGACTGTGAATTTGAGCACATGGTTCAAATCTACGAAGCAGTCCGCTATACCACTAAGAGCTTTTGAAAGTGCTTTTCATGGGAGTCATGACTGCCATAGTAATAATCATGCCACAAGTAACCCTGATTGCGACCTGATAATTATGGTCGAAATCTTCTCAGATATGTGGTATAAAATCTGTTTACCTGCATTAGCTGTAGATGAACAATTAGTCTGTGCTATCATCTTCAGCATCAAACTTGAAACGCCTTACTCCAATTTAACCTTCTCTCTGTCACCTATTAATTGAGCTGTCACTGAAAATGACTATCCATTAACTTTAGTATAATGAAGTGTATTTAATGTTTAACAATTCTTCACGAGAGGTAATTGAGGATTTGATGAAGAATACGGACGTTTTGATAGGTTCTAAAATAAACTAGCAAACGTATGTGTTCCTGTATTCATATATAATCTTTAAAATGACGCTAATGTTTTTACTAATGAAAAGAATCATTTTTATTAGTTATTCATAAATGCAATATTTTTAATCAGTTCGATCACTTTTTTCTGTGCCAAAATATCCATATGCTCGCCATCCTTGATCGCATAGAGGGATATCTATAATGTGTCTTCATTAGTGATATACATTTTTTTTGAATCAAAGTTCATGTGTAGTTTCTTTCTTTAATTTCCTATCATTCTAAATTAGCAAAAATTTTAAACAGCACAGCTGTCAGAAAATCCGAAAATTTGTGATATTAAATTATTCACATCAATTGAGATTTGTATCACTAACAGTTAAGCTGAGGGAGCTACATTTCAAATTTTGTTATTGTTAAATTTAATTTCTTGTCATATGACCTCCTGGTGTTGCTATAATGTCACTAAGAGATTCCTTGCCTCTACTTGCAACTGCTAATCATTTCATCTTTTGATACTAGAATCGTTCTGATAAAATTCCCAACAGTAAAGTAAATCCAAACAAATAATTCGTCTGTGAATCAACAATAATCAATCTACAACACTTTCGCAACAACAGCATTTGGCACGATCGAGGAGTACTAGAGATGATTTTGTAATGTTTGTGATATTAAGGTATAAACTGAACAAAAATTGAACTGATCAAAAATTTTAGGGAAAATGATGAGATTGGTTCATCGATACTGTCCGATAATTTTATTTCAAAAATTGAAAATACCCAAGAATGATTAAAAGAGAAGAAAAAATTTCGGTTTGCAAAGTTGATACCTTTCTGCTACTATTTTTACCAATCCATTTTTTGCATGCTTCAAGAGAACGTCGATTAACAGTACCATCACCATCACCATAAATGGTATCTGGTTGATAATCCGGAAATCGCTTTTTAGACCATTCAAAAGATTCTGGTGTGTCAATGCCATACCCATAAATACAATGTACCTGAAAATGTTTTGCTGTACCTGGAGAGAAAAGTTGTAACTTTTCAATTTTAACTAAGCTACTCTTCATGGGATGGATGTGTTATAACCCATTTGCATCTTTCGAATTCATTAAAATTGTTTCTGATAATTTATTCGATAATTTATTGGATTGAGTGATACCTCAACGTTCGGTGCCCGAAAATTGCCGAGTAAATGAGCTGTATTCTGATACTGATACCAGCCAACTTCATAGTTAATATCTTTGAAAAATTCTTCCACGTTTTTTAGCGTGTAATTTTTGTTGTCAACTGTTGCCAATATCTATAGCAAATTGTTCAACGATATATTTAAAATTTTTCAGAAAAATTTCAGTTACTTTCGATTTCAGCAAATCTGATGGAAAAATCAACAAATAGTTCAAATCTCCGAAATGCCTCATTCATTATTATTTCTGCATTTGTTCTAACTTCATTTACTACCAGTGGTCTGGGCAACTTCTCTCTATAAATTAGTGTCAACCCCACTCCCTTTCAAAAATAATAATAATGTTTTCCTTCTCTTCATTAATTCCATTGATTTCTCTTTTATTTAAGATCTTCCAATTAAAAAAAGGAGAATTTTAGAGATACCTACTTCATCTTCACTCCAAACATTATAACTGGGAAAAAGAAACGTCGAACTGGTGAATGACCGTTGCATTTCACGCAATGAACTTGGCGGTAACAAAATTCTATAGTGGTTCATATTATAGCCTACAATTTTGGCATCGAAATAGAGTAAATTTAGAAATGAATGCTTTAAAATATTTAGTCAAACATCAGATTTTATCCAACAAGCTACTCCCACATTACTGCTTCAACAGTAACTTCATCAGTACAATTCGTACAATTAGTTTGGCTTTTTTTATCTTATATTCGAACGTTTATTTCACTACATATGCCCACTTATTATCAGCTAGTCAAATCGAGAGTGACAGTCGAAAACGTCTTCACCAAACAAATAATGCTATTTTCTCTAAATATGGTACAAGCTTCGCATAGCTCGTCCATGTCAAATTTTCTAGTCACAATCATATTACGACGAAAAATTTATTGGATTTATGTTGGAAATATTTTCACAAGACTAGAACTCAGGCGTATAATAATTACTTACACAATCACCTGAAGCAAGAAGACGGATAATTTGAAGTGCACCGCCCCAGGCGCCAGCTATCGAAATATGCGATTGAATAAATTTGTCCTTCCATTCCTGTTATCTTCATCTTTTGATATAAAAACACAAATTCACTAATGAATTATATTACTAAAAATATCAGAAGAATAAGTGGGAAAGTTTATTGAAAGAATATTAATTATATTACCGGAAATACGTGGAAATATTAAGCTGCTGATTGGAACGATAACTACAGAAGCATGCAATGTGCTAATATTGCATGCCACACTAACTTATTGACAGATAGCTCTTGAGGCTTGTTTGGATAAGTTCCGCCATAGCTCTCACCCAACAAAATCATTTCCATTGGAAGGGGAATTTAGTTTGGGATGTTTAAAATTTCGAAATTATTTATAAAACCACAGTAAAAAGTTAAAGATTGAATGAAAAAAATTTTCTCAGAACCTGTGTGACGATTCGGTTATAAAAATAGAGCATTAACGGATTGCCCATGCTATGTGCAATAATGATCACTTTCTTGTGACCGCAGGAACGATAAGTTTCTTCAATCAATTTTGTCAAATTTGAATAATAGTCTTCGAATTCATCTATAAATTTAATTCATCTTTCTGTATAAAATCTGCAGAAATGCATAAGTTATTACTAACTTTTATTGAGACAAAAATTTGAAGTTATTAAGGCGTGATTGAATCTCGAGAAAATTATCAAGAAATTGAAGAATTTTAAAAGAAAACTTATTCCTATAATTTTCTGTTATTCAGACATCTTTTTTTTCGAGATATATTTGAAATTTTTACTTCAAATTATTTCATACACCTCGAATAAAATAGAAGATCAAATGGCTTACTTGGTGCTTGTCTCCAATCGTAAGGTGCACCCACGATATTTTTACCTCGACGATAGCCAAATGGTAGGAGAGCTTCAACGATATCCGTGAAATAACGTCCTTCCGATGCTTTTGACGTATCCAACCATTCCACGGTACTTGTATTCCGGAATCCGGGAACATCAATCAGGACACCCGGCATACTTGATGTCTTGTTCGTTGTTCTGTTATATACTAACCTTCAAATATTCCACATCAGCAACATCACTTCCATAATATCTGAATGAAGTTTTGTTTACTGCCTCTTGTAGAAATGGATATGTTTCCATCCGTTCACATTCACATTTCAACTTACTTCATATTATCCACCCAACAATCGATTATTGTTGGCAATAACAATTCCAAATTTAACCATAAATCGAAGAAATTATCCGTTTGTCGAGCACACCAATAATGTACAGTTTCAGGTTTTCCAATAAGTTTTGCTTTTAACTGTGATCCACCATAACCGGGTACTGTAAATCTTACTGTCCTGTTTAATGTAATTGTTATTAGAGTTGTAGTTATTAGATGTAAAAATGCAAATTTATATTATCAATTTATTAAAAGCATACCCAATACAATTGGATGTAAAGGTGTCCCTACTGTAGCGGCAGTTGTTGCTGATATGATAATTGAAAAGAGTAATGACATGCCAAATGGTGATATCCAAATGAGCATCATTCCCGAAGAATGACACAGTGTCAATAATAACCGTATAGAAATATCAACAAGAAACTGTTGAAGGTCAACGATTAACCCCTGTTAACCTACAGAACAGCAAAAGATACTATAATTCTTACATATAGATTTATAATTACTTGTATACTTTACAATTCCGATCGAAACGAGAGTTCATGTGCCTTATCATGGAGGAAATTCACAAAATTAGTGGAGTGAGAAGATATAATGGAGAGGTTTTCCACATAGAAAAAATTAGAATTAAGTAACTTCTTTACCCAGTCTGCTTTAAATTAATTCAAACTTTGTTGTAAGAAATTTTTGATATGAATATATGATAAGACAACAATTAAGGTACAGCAATTGCAAAAGGTCAGAAATACTTCTAAAATTTCAAAATTTAATTTTCTTCCTTTTAGGCCACATTGAAATTTTTTTGAATGATTTGAAATAGTTGCATTTGTAAATCTAAATAAAAATTGGCTTCTGAAAAGAAAAATGGAAGCTATTCAATAAATAGTTATTTTTAGTCACATTATTCATTACCATTGCCCAGCCTTTCAACAGTAAATGTCGAATAGCGCGCAATAAAAAGAATTTCAAGAAAAGTGTAAACCAGGAAATCAATTAATTATCAGCAATCATTTCTTCATATATTTTCCTCACAGTTGATAACTGTGCTTCTTTTACAAGAGCAAGAGCAGCACATCATATCCACTACTATCACTGCATCAGCTGATGTAACAAATGAGTAATCAATCAATTTGAGTTATCAAATTATCCGTCAAAATTCTTTAAAAGACTACAATATATTTTATTTGCAGAAAGAAAAAAATGAAAGAAAAAATCTAGATACAACTGAAGCCGATATGTGATGTTTATAACAAAAAAAAACAAAGCATCAATTTGGTAGCAATATTATATTACAGTAAAGTCTAGACTACAATTTCTGTTCTATTTGTGACATGGCGCTATAATTTTCTTCACAACAGTTGTCCCTACACCTGCTATCTTTCACTTCTGATGTGTACAACATTCAAAAGTATAAAAGAAAGAGCATTGATAAGGCAATTCTCGAGCAACTAAAATTTTTTGCAAATATTTTTACTAACTTCTGATGTGCGCAACATCTCGACATTGAAAACTTTTTGTCAGTGCAGCAAAAAATAAACATCAATAGTAATCTAAAAAATTTAAAGCTCTCAGAATTCTCAGAATTTGTTTTGGCAAATTTTTTTACGCCTGATTTAATGGACCATTCATTGAACGGGAACGATGATTCAGCACAAAAATTTCTCATTTGCAGCTATATTCTTCATTGAAGACCTCAAGGTTTTCATTCTCATCAAGACGGAGGCAGCTGCATTTATGAAAAAAAGTGGAGTAGCGTGGTGGTACATAACAGTTATTGTCATATTTACTGCCTCCTCAGTTCGCAGCAGTTCAGAAATGAAAAATTTTATTTCCAAACACTCTATCATGCTGAAATGCATCCAAGAAATGCAAATGATCTTGAAAGAAATTCAGGACTTTCAAAATCAAATTATAGAACATGGAAAATTTTTAACATCTAGAAAATAAAAATTTTATAAAAAATTTATTAAAAACACAGAAATCGACTATTTCCGAACAATTCCACTGAAATAAACGGCATACAAATTCACTGCAATTTTAAGAAGTAGCTAAAAATGACTGAAAAAGAAACTAAACTATTTGAAATAAGTGCAAAGATCACAACACAAAACTTTCAATTTAAAAGCGCTAGCCAGCGCTCAAGTATTTGCGTCCAGCAGCTGAAGATCGAACACTGAAATAAGGTCTTTAAGTAAGTTTTAAATGCAACTTTTTCATTTCTTACACGATTAAAGTAATCTCCATTACGGCTCATCAAATAGTATTAATTTGTCCTTTTACACATCGCCTCCCTTCTCCCGCCATTTACTGAAATTTACAAAATCCCTGCTCTTTAATACTATTTGATCCGAAGTTTTATTTTCATGATAATCTCTCATTTCGTACCCTATCTATTTGCAAACCAAAAATGTTTTCCTAATCTTAGCAGCTGAGATTCTGCTGCTTCTTATGAACAAAACCATTAAAAATTTTGCGAGTAACCGAAATTCGAAACATAAGTCAGGACACTAAATATTATAGTTTGATGCATTTCATATCGTAATGTACTCAAGATTACCACTGCTGAAGCAAAAATTGTGCCATTTCAATCTGACTTGGTGTGCCCGATATTGTGATAATCCGTTCACCGTTTGGGTCCTCCTCCTCAATTTTAATATGTGCGCCCGATTCATCACGAATACGTCGAATACGCTCACCACCTCGACCGATGATTGTTCCGCCCAATTCATTTGGCACAGTCACCTAAAATTAATTTTCTTCAGTACTTGTGCATGTGCAAAAAAATTTTTTTCAGAGGATTTTGGTAGATGGTAAATACAAATCTAGCCGAGTAAAGAGCACCGTTTTAAACATATGCATTTCAAATGCGAATAACATTATGAATATGCAATTGCTGAGCAAAATGATGCATTTCCAGCATTCTTCAAAATATAGTTTCAAAGAGCCACATCAAATATCGTAAAATACGATTTGATTTGTTGCAGTGTTGTAGCATTAATACAGAATACCTGTGCGGTCTCTAGAGGTCCATCATCATATGCAGGTGGTACTGACCCATAAGACGGTAAAGTAATTCGACCTCGTGGACCATATCCTCTTATTCCTCGTCCGCCATGATCTCCGGCATAACCTCCATATTCATTTGCAACCATTGGATCAAAAAAAATCGATTCATATGGACGTGAAGGTCCTTTAATTGGAATCTAAAGAAAACTTCGATTTATCCTTTCTAAATTTACTTATTTAATAATTTCTAATTTCTACATGTTTAATTTATGTAGTGACTACCTTGTAAAATTAACAAACAAATATACAAAAAACCAAACATTTCAAATTACATTAAATGGCAACTATTATTTGATATCTTTTAACAAAGTTGTGAAACTAGCATCAGTAAACAGAGCGATACGAAATCTACATACTTCTTTCAGCGTACTGATAATTGTAACCAAGCAGGCCACAATTTTTTCTGGTTTCCCATTAATTTGGATAATACGTTCTGTCGACTGGGGACAACATTCTGAATATACCTACAAAACATGAGAAGACTCATTCTTAGATTAAAGCGATATATAAGAATAACAGAAATTTGTCAATTTTATAAATGTTGTCAGAAATAACCTTGAGATCAACTCCGTTTTCCTCACGCAATTCCTTGATACGACTTCCTCCACGACCAATTACAGCACCAGCATGAGATTGGTGTACCAGTACTTTCAATTCTGAATCGCGATCCTGGTTGTCATGTACCTATAACACGAATATCCAGTGCGAAACATTTGTTCACGAGAAGAAATTTTCCACTACTTCAAAAACTGAAAGATATTCCTACATTAAGATTTGAAGTTGTACATTAAATTACAAAGTTTTAAAAATTTTAAAAACATTTAGTAGAGAATCCCGCCATACCTACTTTATTTTCCTTTTTTAATAATTTTATTACTGCTATCAATTTTTCCGCGAAAAAAAGATAACGACAAGGCACTGCAGAAACACACAAGGGCATTCTCGAACTTCAAATTAATCAGTTTTGTTCGCAAAGGTCATTAGATTAAGATCTGAATTAGTAAGTGGATTTCCAGGAACCGTATCATGAATTTCCTTCGAAGGATTAATAAAAAAAGTTATATACGATGCATATTTATTTTCTAAGCATTTACTGACCTCATCGATTCTCGCAATTATCATTTCTACACATCTGACGACATTTTTAACTGTTGCAACTAACTGCACCACACTGCAATTAAAATATCGAAAAAATTGCTGGAACCGCTACATAGTAAGGAATTAAATATGCAACAAACAACGTCAATACGCTATACCTCTCAAACTAAACAATGATTTTGTTTCGAAAAGTATGCGTACTGATGTAAGCATAAGATATGAAAATGGCAGCAGACCTGACCTTCCGATTCGAACCTAATCTCTTGGTAAAGGATCATAATAGAAAAATAACGAGATTATGAAAAACAAATAAATTAAGAATATACTAATAACATGAATTTGAAATAAATATTTCACATGACATAGAATGATCCCAATAGAACGAAATATATGTCTTCGAAGCAAATACAAGATTCTATGAAAAAGATCAGATGCTGACGGCACAGATATGAAATTTAACGCTCATTCATAATTGTCCAGTTAATTCTTCATGTCAGGGACCGGAATCGAGAAAACCAGAAGGTCGGAATACTACCATTTTATTACCGTTTCAGCTTCTAACAGAGCATATTTTATATTACTTAATCCTGTGTCTCTCACAACAAGAGTAAAATAATCTTTAAAAAAATTATTCATCGAACAAAGGCAACCGGCAGAGAGAAGTTGGTATAACAGTGGGCGGGCCGCTATCCAGGTGGGCCAAATCAACACACTGCTGCCAGTGAGTTACGCGGCCCTTCTTAGCCGTAGAAGTAGCATACCACCAAATCTTCTTAATCCAGTTTTGCCATACTTCAGTAAAATATAGGGAGGATTGGAAGGAGGGTTTACCGTTCAGGCGTCTGGCTATCGGGGACCGATACAGTCGCGTCGCACTGCAATGAGTTACTTACATTTAAATATACACAGCAACATATTTCAGTAGGTTTAAATCGGGTCTGACTAAGTCTTATCCAAAGTTCCTAACTAAAATCCAGAGAATAATACATGAATTAAAGTCCAAATTCTTCAAATTCAGATAACTTCAGCAGTTTTTGATCCTCATTAAGTTTTCCCAACCATCAACTTAAATATATTTTCTAATCGGAAAATCGATTGAATCAACTAGCAAAAAATTTTTCCAAACTTTGAAAGCAACTTTTGGAGGAAATCTTACGAATGTTTCTCGGAATCTTCTAAGTTCGGCTGTCGAACTTCCATAGGAG